GGAAATCAATCTAACAAAAGAAATGAAAGATTCTACTATGAAAACTACAGAACTCTAAAGAACAAAATTGAGGAAGGCCTTAGAAGATGGAAAGATCTTCCACGATCTTATACAGGCAGAATTAATATTGCCAAAATGGCCATAGTACTAAAAATATGATGTAGGTTTAATGCCATTCATGTTAAAATTCCAATGACATTTTTCTTAGAAACAAAAAAAGCAGTCATGAAAATTATGTGGAAAAATAAGAGACTCAGAATAACTAAAGCAGTCCTCAGCAAGAAAAGGGAAACAAGAGGCATCACAATACCAGACTTTAAATTATACTACAGAGCTATAGTAACTAAAACAGCATGGTATTGGCACCAAAACAGACATGAAGACCAATGGTACAGAATAGAAGACACAAACAAACCCATATAAACACACTTATCTCATGCTAGACAAAGGCATCATAAACACACATTGGAGTAAAGATAGCCTCTTCAACAAATGCTGCTGGGAAAACCGGAAATCCATATTGAACATATGAAAATAGACCCCTATCTCTCACACTGCACAAAACTCAAATAGATCAAGGACTATAGCATTAGAACAGAGATTCTATGCCTACTAGAAGAAAAAGTAGACCCAAGTCTCCACCATGTTGACTTAGGAACCAAATTCCTCAACAAGACTCTTAATGCATAAAAAGTAAAATCAAGACTCAATAAAAGGGATGGTATCACACTTAAAAGCTTCTTCACAGCAAAAGAAACAGTCAGGAATGTTGAGAGCCTACAGAATGGGAGAAAATCTTTGCCACTTGCACTTCAGTAGAGATTTTTCTCCAGGATATATAAAGAACTCAAAAAACCCAACACCAAAAAACCAAACAACTAATCAGTAAATGGGCAAAGGAACTGAACAGACATGTCATAGAAAATGAAATATGATCAGTGAGAAAATATATGAAAAAGATTCAACATCTCTAGCAATCAGACAAATGCAAATTAAAACTACACTGAGATTTCATCTGACCCCAGTCAGAATGGCAATTATCAAGAATACAAGCAACAATAAATGTTGCTGAGGATGTGGAGAAAAAGTACACTGGTGGGACTGCAAATTGGTGCAACCACTCTAGAAAGCAGTGTGGAGATTCCTCGGGAAACTTGAAATGAAACTACCATTTGACCCAGTTATCCACTCCTCAGCATATACCCTGAAGACTTAAAATAAGTATACAATAGTGATACAACCAAATCAATGTTTATAGTAGCTCAATTCACAATAGCTAAGCTATGGTACCAGCCTAGGTGCCCTTCAAGAGATGAATGGATAAAGAAAATGTGGTATATATACACGATGGAATATTAGCCATAAAGAAGAATGAAATTATGGCATTTGCCAGTAAATAGATGGAGTGAAATAGGCCATTTCAAATAGGCCATGCTAAGTGAAAAAGGCCATTTCCAAAAAAATCAAAGGCTGACTATTCTTTCTGATATGCGGATGCTGACTCACAAGTGGGGGGGAAAGGGGCTTCACCAGGTTGAACAGGTTGAACAGAGTAGAGTGGGAGGAAGAGAGGAGGTATGGGAATGGGAAAGACAGTAGAATGAATCAGACATACCTTTCCTATGTTCATACGTGAATACATGACCAGTGTAACATGTACAACATGTACAACCACAAAAATAGGAAGTTATACTCCATTTATATGTGATATGTCAAACTACATTCAACTGTCATATATAACTAAGAAGAACAAAAAAATTTAATTCAACATAGGATAAAGGGGATAACATGGTAAAGGGTTCAATTCTGAGAATACATAGTAATCCTGATCATGCATGCATCTAACAACAGAGCAAACTACATGAGGCAAAACTGATAAAACTGCAAGGAGAAAGATGAATCCATCATTTTAGCTGAAGACTTCTACACCCCTATATCTGAAATGGATGGATTCAGCAGGCAAAGTCAGCAAAGACACAGTTAAACTCAACAATACCATCAATCATGTAGACATAATGAATATCTGTACACTACTTTATCTAACAGCAGAATATACATCTTCAAGATCACATGGAAAGTTCGCCAACACCGAACACATTCATGGCTGTAATACCATAAAATTTTTAAAAGACTAGAAATCATACATTGTTTACTCTCTGACACAAAAAAAATTAAACTAGAAATTACACTAGCAGCTAATAACGCAAAAATTCCAAGACATGTGACCATTAAAAATACTTCTAGCAGGTCAAAGTACAAATTTCAAGGAAAACTTAAGTATTTTGAATTAAATCAAAATCAAAGTAAAACTTAGGAAATTTTGTGGAAAGCAACCAAAGTAGTACTTAGAAAAGGAAGTTCACAGTACCGAGTGCAAATAACTAAATATCAATCTGTTTCCCAATTTAGGAAACTAGAAAAAGAGGAACAAATTAAATCCAAAATATCTAAAAAAAATAAACAAATAAGTAGAAATTAATGTAACTGAGAAAAATAGGTTCAAAAATGAAATCAAAAAGGTGTTTCTTTGAAAAGTATTTTTTTTTAAAGAAGAAGAAAATTACACCACAGTAAATCTCTGGCCAAAAGAGGATACAAAATATCAGAAATGAAATAGGGATCATCATTCATATTAAAAGGATAAAAAGGAATATGGATAAAAAGGAATATTTTTTATTATTGAATTCAAAACATCAATTAAAATAATCTACCACACTGACAGGCTTAGCACAAGTCACATGAGCATATCAATAGATGTAAAAAAAAATCTGATGAAATCTAATTTACAAATTTTATATCCACACAAAGGATATTGTCACAATCCTTAACAATGAGAAATCAAGTTTTGCAACTAAGATCAAGAGCAACGAAGGGATGCCTCCTTTCACCACTGCTTTTCTACATATTACTGGCAGTCCTAATTAATGCACTAAGACAAGAAAAAGAAAAAAGCCATACTGATTGTGAAAGAAGATATAAAACTATCCTTGTTCATGGATAACATATCTATATGAAAAATCACACACAAAAAAAATAGACAAAAACACTCCAGGAACTTGTAACAATGATAGCAAGGTTTCAAAATTCAAAGTTAATACATACAAGTCCATCATTTACCAGCAATGACTAAGTGGAAACTAAGATTAACACAGTGCCATTTACACTGGGACCAAATAATAATAATAATAATATGAATTTGACAAAATATGTATAAAATCTATATTAAGAAAACTACAAAACTCTGATGAAAGAGGTCAAAGAGTAACTAAATCAATGGAAAGATAATCCATGTTCAGAGAGATTTAATGTTGTCAATATGTCAGTTCATTCTCCATTTGATCTATAGATTCAATATAATCCAAATCAAAATTCCAGGAAATTATTTAGTGGATATCAATAAATTTTAAACTTTATACGGAAAAGGTAAAGACCCAGAAAACTGAACACAATAGGAAATAGAACAAATAGGGGGACTGATATTACCCAACCTCTCAAGTCTTAGTATGAAACCACAATAATCAACACAATGAAATAAAGTTACTCTTTCCAACAAATGGTATTGAAACTGGAAACCTACCTGCAAAAATATGCATCTAGACACAGACTTTACATCTCTTATAAAAATTAACTCAACATGGATCATAAATGTCAATGTAAAACACCAAAGTACAAAATTCCTAAAAGAAAATATGGGGGGGGCAATCTATATGACTCTAGGTATGGCAATGGCTTTAGAGGTAACACCCAAGGCCTGATCCATGAAAGAACTGATGAGATGGACTTCATTTAAATTAGAAATATCTGTTTTGTAAAAGACCATGTCGAAATTATGTGGAGATAGTCACAGAATGGGAAAAAGTATATTCAAAAGACATCTGATATAAAAAGACATGCACAAAGAAGTCATAAAATTTAACACAAACAATCCAATTTTAAAATGGGCCAACAACCTTAATGCACATCTCCCCAAAACAGATGACAAATAAACATAGGAAAAATACTACACATCCTTCATCATCGAGGAAACACAAACTAAAGCAATGAAATACCACTACACACCTATTGAAATGACCAAAATCGAAAACATTCACAATCCCAAATGGTGACAAGGATTGGAGTAATAAGAATATTCTCATTCATTGCTGGTGAGAATGAAAAATGGTACAGTTTTCTTATCTAAGAAAAAAAATCAAACATTCTTTCCCAACAATCCAGCTATTATGTGCCTTGATAGTTACTCAAAGAAGCTAAAGTTTTATATCAGCACAAAAACCTGCTTGTGGATATTTCTTCATAACTACCAAAATAAGAAACAATCAAAATGTCCTATGGTAATGAATGAATAAACTGGAACATCCAGACAATGGAATATTTTTCAGCACTAAAAAGAAATGAGCCTTTAAGCCATGAAAAAAGGAACTTACATATATTTTATATTAAAAAGTAAAAGATATTATCCTGGAAAAGCTACATACTTTATGATTTGAACAATATAACATTCTGGGAAAAGCAAAACAATGTAAACAGTAAAAGACTGGTGTTTCCCAGAGTGGAGAAAGTGGGATAAATAGACAATCATGGAGTAGTTTCAGGACAGTAAAAATACTATATATGATACTATAACAGTGAATACAAGTCCTCCCACATTTGTTCAAACCTATAAAATACACAACACAAAGAGAAAATCCCACTATGGACTTCAGATTATAATAATGTCAGTGTAGGTTGTTAAACTGTTACAAATTCATCACTCTGTTGGGATGTGTTGATAACTGGGGGAGGTTATGTATGTGTGGGGTAAGGGTTATATACAAACTATCTGCACTTTCTCCTTAGTTTTACTGAAAACCTAAAACTTCTAAAAAAAAATTAGTTTTTACTTTAAAATTTCAAACCAGGCAACTGAATGGGTTAGGATGAAAAGGGAAATAAATGGAGATAAGCAAACATAATAATTTCATGCCTTTACTTTTCTAATAACATAAACCAGTAGCTCTTACTTGATTTCCTTTACAGGTACTTTTTTCTGGAGAAGTTGCTGCACCATCCCTTTTTCTTCTGAGGGAAGCAAAATTAATAAGGCTTCACCATCCTCTTTGTACCTACACAAACAACAAAAATTAATACATCAATGCAATCTATATTTTACATTTTAACAGTGTAAGTAATTAACAGAGTCAAGTTCATCTAATTGTAAATATTAAGAATCCAAATTTTTCATCTTCTGTGATAACAGAAAACTAGGGATCTGACCACCTTATATCAAATTACATCACTTATTATAATTTCTAGTTACTTTAAGGCTGTGCCTTAATAGAAGTGCTAGCTTCTAAGAAAGAAATCAATTCAAGATAATTTCTTAAATAGCTTCCTATCCACACAGCAAGAAGATAATTTTTCACACAAGCAACTAAGAAAATGTAAATAAAATTAGTCATTTAATAAACAGAGCACCCTAATATATTAATTAAATAAATTCATCTTCCTGGAAATTTTATTAATGCCTCTGGAATAAAATTGTTCAGAGGCATCAGTATGAAGAAAAACACTCAGGTAAAACACATGCCTCCAATTCTTGCATCTTCTCTTCCCTCACCAAAACAGATAACCTTATTTCATTCTGCACCTTCAGAAATTTGTATTGACATAGGTCATAAAGCATCCTCTGGTTATTTAAGCTTTTGGTACTATTTGTATACAGATCTTACTAATAATACTGTAAGATCAACTGTTACATATAAAAAGTCAAACAGATTAAGATTGGGTATTTGGGAAATTTTTTAAATAAACCAAACAAAAAAATCTCAAAGCACTCTAAGATTTATGCTACAAAACATGAGTACATTTTATATCAAATCAAATAAACTATTGATAAACTATGATTCAAGCATAAACCAAAGAACACAAAAAAAAAAAAAACCAAAAATGAAAACTGATCTTCAGGGATCTAACACTAAAGTTGACTAAGATAAACATCACAGAAGCAAGAGATTCAAGATGACAGTTACAGAATGGTGAATAAGTCAGTGCCAAAGGACAGCCACAGGCAATAAATGTCATCAACTCACAAGTAAAGAGCCTACTCAGGGGCTGGAATTGTATCTCAGTAGTAGAGTGCTCGCCTAGCATGTGTGAAGCACTGGGTTCGATCCTCAGTACCACATAAAAATAAATACAATAAAGGTATTGTGTCCATCTACAACTAAAAAAAATTAAGAGAGAGAGACTAGTCAGGGCAAGCCACAGGGCTGGGGAGAAGGGTTTATATTAAAAAAAAAAAAAACTGTGTGTGTATGTGTGTGTTTGTGTCTGTGTCTGTGCCATAGCTGATGGAATTTTAGGTAAGTCTTGAATATGAATAAAAAGGGAAAAGCTACATACTTTTTAACATGATCAAATGAATAGAAACCAAAAAATGCAAGGCTAATTCAGGTTTTTTTTTATTTGTTTATTTTTAAAGGAGTAAGGCAAAGCTGTAATACAAAATGGATAACAGAGAAGAGTACTAAGATACATTAGAACCTGACTTTAGAGACCTTGGATGTCTCTGCAGAGATTCAGAACAATTATATGCTTGCAGAATTTTATTACTGAATGCTGAAGGGGAAAACTGGCCATAACAACTTACTGAAAAATGGTAGTATACTTTATTTTGAAGACTGAGGGCAATTTTTACCTTATATGTTGACTTTAAAACTCAACTACTCTACATAAGGTAAAACTTCAGTAAGAAAAAAATAAATACCCTTGTATGCACAAAGAATATGAAATAAAACACATAAAATATTAAGTTTCTTAGATAATTCAGTAGCTTTAAATTCTTTTTATTAAAAGTACTCTATGTGCCAAATGCTAACATAGTGGGAAAATAGACATGGTTTTGGCTGTTAAAAGCTCGTGGCCTATTGCCACAGACATTAAAATCAAAGGCTATGAGTGTTACAATATACATACAGGAAGCTGTAAGGACATGACAGAGCTCTAGATAAGTAGTCTAGGTGTCAAGCAAACTGTCCTGAAGAAATTATATCAAAGCTGAGACCTAAAGAATAAAGAATTAGTTTAACATTAGGGTTAGGAATATAAATGGTGGAGTCAAGTTTACAGGGAAAAAGTAGAATTTCAGAGTCTAGTGGATACTTTTGTCTTCATAATTATTTGCTTTTTCTAGTAAAACTGAAAATAGCTTATTCCTTAATTATGTTTCATAACTAAAAAACTAGTACCAAATAACTTCTTTGTTGTACTTTAATGCAGAATTATGACTCAAAAAAGTTTTTCATCTTTTTTTTCTTTAAAAAAAATGGGGGGGGGGGATTTAAAACATTCCCCCTAGCAGTTTTAGACTAACCTGTGATGAAAGCAGAATGTATTAGTAACAAGGTGACATCCTGAGTAGATAAAATATCTGAGAGACATCACAATTTCTGCAGCAACAAGACCATACCAGGGACCTGGTAAGAGTCAAAGAGGATCAGAATCAGCTAACGAAGCAGTATTTTTACCAAGATGCTCTCAGGGCAGTCAGACTCTGGAAGTGAAATTAATGCCTTCTGATGGTATCCTGTAGCTACTAGAAACAGTTAGGAAGGAGGAAAAACAGTGGGCTAAGGAGAGTCAACACTTCAAATCTTCCACATCCAAATTCAGGGACAGCAAGATGTAATAAACAAGCCCACAAGTTTACACAGGGTAAGAATTGTGGCCAAGGAGTAAAAGAAATCTCTGGAAGGTCAAAAAGGCTGAATTTAACATTCCGTGATCTTCCAACTGACTCATGAGCAAGAAAAATAAGGCTAGTCACCCACCCTACCCATTCATGCATCCAAGGAGAACCTGAAAGAATGAATCAGGATTCAAGTCACAAAAGGAACCATGTCCAAACCTTTTAATGCTACAGCTAACGGAATATACATAAACAGCTTCACATGGTTAAGACAGACTGTAACAGTGACATTTAGAAGAAACACATTCCAAAAAGAAAATGAAAAATGATATGCAAAATCAAATCCCACAAGATAAGCAGCTATTAAGATCATTACCAACCATTTCACCCATTTTACATATACATCTCTTCCCTAAAACAACATAAAGCACAAATTATCTCCAACTAATACCCAAAAATATCCAGTAAACTTTTATTCCAAGAATAAAAGTACTTTTACAGAGAAGGTATAAGCCCACTTCATTTTTCTAATGCTTACAAGAATAAAGTCTATTTACCCATGAGCTAGCTTTTAGATTTCAAAAGCAATATCCCAGAGGTGGGGAGGGGGGAGGGTGGATGATGGGAAAGGCAGCGGAGCACAACAGACACTAGTATGGCAATTTGTAAATCAATGGATGTGTAACTGATGTGAATCTGCAATCTGTATATGGGGTGAAGGTGGGAGTTCATAACCCACTAGAATCAAAGTGTGGAATATGATATGTCAAGAAATTTGTAATGTTTTGAACAACCCACAATAAAAAATTAAAAAAAAAAAAAAAAAAAAAAAAAAAAGCAATATCCCAGGCCCAAAGCTCACATGTGTAAGAAAAATAAATGTTCTTCTAAGACCTACATTTTAAAATTCCATATATTTGGATAGATTATTTTAAGAGACATCCCAGGCACTTCAGAAAGTTCTGTATCTGAAACAAAATTTCATTTTCATCATCAGTATTAACTCCATGTAGCATTTATACAACTCTTTCCAGTTTTTTTTTTAATTGGTTGTTCAAAACATTACAAAGCTCTTGACATATCATATTTCATACATTAGATTCAAGTTGGTTATGAACTCCCAATTTTACCCCAAATACAGATTGCACAATCACATCGGTTACACATCCACATTTTTACATAATGCCCTATTAGTAACTGTTGTATTCTGCTACCTTTCCTATCTTCTACTATCCCCCCTCCCCTCCCCTCCCATCTTCTCTCTCTACCCCATCTACTGTAATTCATTTCTCTCCTTGTTTATTTTCCCATTCCCCTCACAACCTCTTATATGTAATTTCGCTGGGTCACCATTTGACCCAGCTATTGCCCTTCTCGGACTATTCACTGAAGACCTTAAAAGAGCGTACTACAGGCATACTGCTACATCGATGTTCATAGCAGCACAATTCACAATTGCTAGACTGTGGAACCAACCCAGATGCCTTTCAATAGATGAATGGATAAAAAAAATGTGGCATTTATACACCATGGAGTATTACGCAGCACTAAAAAATGACAAAATCATGGAATTTGCAGGGAAATGGATGGCACTAGAGCAGATTATGCTTAGTGAAGCTAGCCAATCCCTAAAAAACAAATACCAAATGTCTTCTTTGATATAATGAGAGCAAATAAGAACAGAGCAGGGAGGAAGAGCAGGAAGAAAAGATTAACATTAAACAGATACATGAGGTGGGAGGGAAAGAGAGAGAAAAGGGAAATTGCATGGTAATGGAGAGAGACCCTCTTTCCAGTTTTTTAAGAATTTCATTCACATTAATTTGTCAATCCTAAAAAGAAAGAAACCAAGAGAAGAAGCGAATGAAGTTCCTGACAGACCAAGAAGCTGGCCTCAAGCCAGCTGGTCACTACGTTTCAAAGATTTAAACTTTTAATCCATGCTTTTTCAATTATACAAGAAGACTCTCCAGAAACAAAGATCCTCAAGAGATTGATCATAACTGTCTAACTCACATAAAGAACATACTCAAATCCTGCAGTTCACTAGTATTTCTAGATAAATAAGATGTCCAGACTATTGGCTTGAGTACACATGACAATTCCTCCATTGAAATAACACGCAAACAAACTGGCCAAAGCAAGGAAAGCAATCTTGCTATTTTAGCAATAATGTGCCTTTTTCCCCAAAGTGAAGAAAGCAGTCTTGCTATTTGGGCAATAAAGTGCCTTTTTCCCCCAAAGTCAATAATCCTTAACTATTCCATTTCAGATTACCCAAACATCAATGCCATTCTAATTGAGTCTCTAACTGTCCCTTAAAGTTTGCTCACTGATAGTGCCAACTACTGTCCTACTACAATATGACTGTTTACAAAAAACTGTAGGGACAGTTCTCCATGTCACAAGCTGGGTTATAAAAGGGTCTATTTAGAA